TTCAATTCAGCGATGAAATACAGCATAAACCGTCTGCAAATCAGCATTCATGAAAATAGAACTGTTAGTTTGAAAGAATCACTTGTTCAAATACTTGCTTTCACATTCAGTTACTGCCTAGGGTAAAGCCCACCACTTCTGTGAACAAGGAATGATTCTCTATGCACAAACAGCATATCTTAAAATACAGCCTGATTTTCAGAAAATATTTGCCCCTGTTGCCTTTGAAGGTAGGCATGGGAGGCAGGCCTCTTTTAACATAGGGCAACTGGGATGCCTCAAAGTGGAACTGATTTTTCTAAAAAACACAGACCTGAAATGAATGCTTGTACTTTTCTCCCCTCAACCCAAGACTGTGGCTCCCACATGTGCTACAGTCCCTCTCCACATATATCCTAGAGAGTAAGGTCTTCCTTTGCAGCACTGATTTAATTTCAGGCCCATTACACACAGGCACAGCAGAAGTATTCAGAATATTTAAGAAACCTTCAAATGAAGTTGCCAGAGAGGAGTTTGCAATCTCCTGTTAAATCACCTCTGCCATCTGTCCAGAATTTCCTCAAGAAATTACTATGAAAACATACAGCCAAGAACATAACAGCATCCACAGATTTCGTTATAGATGTGTTCTTAATGTTCAGGATAATTTTCTTCTCAACAAGATTCAGTAATAATCACAGACTTTTCTGTTGGTAATTTAAGGACTTCATAAACGTGGAAGACATTTCAGTGTCTTGGTCTGTATACAGATGAAAGCCATGATCATACAAAACTCTCACAAAAATCTCTCTTTGGGGAAAATGAGAAGAGTTTGCCACATTGAGTAAATAATTTAGCAGCTGCATTCCCTCTTTTATTCAGGGAAAGGAATAGGTACATTTTGGCAGAGAGGAACAGTGTTAATTTAACTCAGTTGGGCTCTGCCTAACAGGCTCCTGGGTGTCAGGGTAAGCTGCTGCAGCCTCCCTCGGTTTCTCACACAGGGTCATCACAGGCTTAGCATCCTGACTGCCTCCACTCAGCACCTACGTTATGCCTCAGGAGTAGATAGCGACATGGTATGGGTTACAACTGTGGTCAGGCTTCAATAGCTGTGGTTTCTATCATGTGCGTCCACCATGATCTAATTACATTAGTGCAACTGCACTTAGGATGGGCTTTCTTGAAAGAGAAATATCAACAACATTTCAGCAGAGACAGCAGTGTTCCAAAATATTGGCAAAATACTGCAGTTGGCGAGTAACTGTTGCTGAACTCATTTGACGTCTGCTTTAAAATTGCCCATGAACAGTTAGCAAGATTCTGAAATGTGTTCATTATCTGGAGGATTATTCTTGATGTGCAGTCAGCTTGTAAAAAGTTTGCTGCAAATACAGTCTCCATCAGGTTAATTACTCACAGAAGTTACAGAGTGCTGCTTTCTGTACTCCAACAGGGTGGCTTCTCTGGCTCACACAGCACAAGCTGTGAATAGTACAATTAACTGCATGACTTTGATGCACAATATGGAAGCGTGATGCTAAACATTTGCTTTTTACAATCATCTACTCTAGCAAAGTTTAAGCCTTTTATTACTTACAGTATGACAGCCAGGTTGGGAAAGAGACAGATTGAATTAAAAAGCTTTTTAAAACAAGGATCCAAGAGCTTAATATTGCTGATGCCCTGATAAAAAGCTTTCTTTCACCCAGAGAACAAAGGAAAGGAGGTGACACTTTCCTTTGCCTGTGCCAATATCCCCAAATATGATGCACCCAATCCCAACTGACAAAAGACAAAGCTGATAAAAGCTTTCTGCTTCCCTGTGACAACCCATATCCAGCTGCTAGAGGGTCTTCAAATTTCAACACCAAATTCAAGACCATCATGGCAAAACTACAAAATATACTGAATCCAGTATCAGGGACTAGAAATACAGTGTATTAGTGAATTTGCTACCCATTTTAATATTTAAGGCAGCTTTAGACATATATACTATTGAGTAGGTTAAAAATGTTCTGAAGAACTTCTGAGCAAACTGCTAAAGGATCCACAATAACATGTGGACATTGAAGAATTTTCGTTTGTTATTTAGATGAAAGTAGTGGCCTTAGTTCATAGACTTTATTCCTCCTCTTTTCCAAGTGAGAAACTAACAAAGTTTTAACACACTAATCCAAGCACATTAATTTTTACACTCTGATTTCATTCCCTGTAATTCACATCCTTGATAGAGAAGTCCTGCATAGTGCATGGCTGCAGTATTTAATTTCGGATCGCAACACATGACAAGGAAAAGGTTTGCTGTCACAGACTTTACACTATGAATAATTCTGCAACCATCAACACAGGAGTAATTCCAGGAAAGCCCAGGTTAGGCACTTGTTTAGGTCTTTGATGAATTAGCATAATCTTTAATAACAGAATTTGGCAACCTCTTCAATTCTTGACTGCGAAATCACCACAAAATAGGTATTTTACTACTTAGTTCATGTTTTCCTGCCTAATCAATCTATTTTCTTGCTTGTGCAAGCTAAACATTATTGGAATTTCTATGCAGGAACAATGAGCGTTACCAGAAATAATTTGTAGGAGCATTTGCCCTATGGCCAAAAACAGCCCCAAAACCACCTGACACAGCTACTTATCTAACCCCCTCTGGGAACCTACAAAGAGAGAGAAATTAGCCCTGAAGGTGTCAATAATCTCAGCTAAAACAGCAGACCAAAACTGCTCAGCAAATTTTGTTATGTTTGCACTATTTGCCAATTTTGTTTGTGCTATTTTCTTCCAAATGTGTTGCCCATATATAGAAAAAAGATCCGGTAAAGCAGGACGGTGAACTTTAATCTTCACATTTTAACCTCACAGCTGAGTAGGAATAGCTGAGAGAGCCATCACAGGAAAGCAGAAAGCTGTCTTCTTGGTTTTCACCTCAATCTTCCTGAAAAATAATTAAATCTAAAACTTCACTCATCAGGAAAATTACAGCTAGTTCAATCTTAACCACTTCACCTGCACTCCAAGATTACCACAAAAAAAAGATACACTTGTTTCAAGAGATAGCAATCCAAGGGTCGATATAAGAAATATTCATCTTGGACAGTTATCTGTAGATTTCATAACTGAGCAAAAAATTCTCTACAGTAGCTTGGAATCTTTCTTCAAAATAGTCTAAGAGTTTTGTGGCCTCTAATCCTTTCAGAGTACACAAGATTGGACATCACAGCCAATTATTGCTGTACAGAGACATTGCTGGACTGAAAAGTTGTTTTCTGTAATTTTGTGGTTTGTAAGAAGCACTGGTTACAATTTTCTTCTCACTCAGCTATTCAGTATTGATGGTAACTAATTCACATGCCTTTATTAAAGAAATTATGCATAAGAGACATGATTAGAGAACACAATATAGCTCCCTAAAATAATTCATCATATGCAGAATATTAGAGGTATTTGTGAGCCTTAATGCTGGAGTCCATTAAATACAGTTACCCAGGTAGCCCTCGCTCTATATCTCCACTTCTGTATTTCTTTCTTAACACAGTCTTCTAGACCTTACACTTCTATGTTTTTGATACATTATGACATTTCACGTTTACTCTTTTTTCTGCTGGGGTTTCTGCTGGGGCAGTTATCAGAGAATTCACAGCTAAGCCAGAAAGAAAACCAACCTACCAGATCAGGGAAGTGTTTTGCCTTTCTCACAACTGTGTCTCAGTGACCCTAGTGGGCTGATACATCAGGACAGATCTCCTCTCCAGACGTTACAGTAGGCATTTGTGTATATATTTATCACAACTGTATTTAGTTAGAAGGATGTATGTGTATGTGCCAAGATCACTGTATTTTGCAGCCCTATGGGGCAATTAAAGGCTTCACTTAAATATACTGCTACTACCCGTTAGGAGTGGACCAGAAACCCCAAATCTTGTGACAAATAGTGAAGGACATCATATTCAACCTCTACCTCATTAAACTGCCTCAGTATTAGGGAAAAACTGATTGAAATTGATGAAGCTCTGTAACAGGCCACAAATTCACATTATCCTATTTCATGGAAGGAGAAAGGGGTATGTAGGTTCTGGTCATTAAATAATTAAAAGTGTCCATAATGAAGACTAGCAGGGCAGTACTACCTATAAATCTGTAAGAAGAATATAGTCTGCACATATTAAGCAAACATTCAGATTGTGTCTCTGCTGTTTTCACATCTCAGCGTGAAATAGTGGTATAGGATAACAGCACTGTAACTCTGATAGGCCTGTGTCTGCACAAACCCTAGGTCACCTGGCAGGAGACCCTGCCATAGGGCCACCCTCTCACTCAGTTTTGGAGAAAGGGAGATCATACATATCCAACACGTGGGAGCAACAGGCTCCTTAAAAGGCATTTTGAAGTAATCCAAGCAACTTGTCGAAGCAGTGAGGAAACAGAAAAGACATTCCTAAGACAGATCTTCTCCTTTTCAGCTGAATCCATATATATTTTGTTCTCTCCAAGGTAATTACTAAGTATTTCAAAGACTATTGTGTAAAGCTCATCTGTTGCATGCATCTACTATCCTTTAGCATCGAAACAATACAATAGCAAAACCAAAGAATGCAGAGCCTACAGGCACCCTCCAGCTACTGGTGTGCCTTGGAGGACTCAGCACTGATCCAGCAGGCTTAATGCAGCTTGTCTCATTTCCATGAAACAATGATAAACAGAAATGGTTCCCAGGAAACATGCTAAGAGCAAAGGAAGCTTCAGGGCTGGCATATTCCCCAGATCCGGGGAAGCCTCAAAGCTCCTTAGTGCTGGAGGCAAGGCTGGTGCAGCAGCAGGGATACAAGAACCCCAGGCAGGTAGGCAAGTGCTCTGCATGCTGGCCAGTGAAATGATACTGTTAATAGGCTGCCATCATGATTTGTCTTATGTGGTATACCAATGATGTTTGCTCATGAAATGTAAAGACTGGTCTGGGGGGAGAGGAGAAGGAAGCCATCGAGAATAACTGAAATACATTCATTTATTTCTAGACTTTTATGAAGTCTACTCCGGCCCTGATCTTTACATGGGTAAGACAACATACGTTATCTCTCTCTCTCCTGCATCTTTACCAAGTTCAATTCTTTACCAAGCACACCAAACTGTGCTCCTTGTTAGTAGGACTGGCATTAACATTTAGACCAAAAGAAATTTGTAGGCATCCATATGTATATTTGCAACTAATGCTATTAATCCTAAATTGAAGTACATGATTTTTCATTTTTTAAATAATTTTTAAGTGTTCCATGGCATATTTTAAAAGATTGTCCAGAAAAAATGCTAGTAAGCAAGAAAATGCTAGGAACCAGAAAATTATTTCATATACTTTTAAAATTACCTAAATAGCCAACATACCATGCATGCTAAACTTCTTTTATAATCTATGAGAAATTATCAATCATAAAAGGATGACTTCATGTTGTACTGCTATATTCTAGTTGCACTATCTCACACTGTGGTAACTCATGAAATTAAAAACAGGATATCCAAGGAGTGCATTAAGAAATTTAGCTTATTAATGTTCAATCATATTTAAACCCATTTTTCTTGCCATTGGCTTTTATGATCCAACAATGGAAAATTTTTCTTCATATTTTTCAGAAATAACAGAAAATTCCAAGAAATGGAAGCCCCTGCTAGTAAAAGAAGAAAAGCTGAGTATCACCACAGTTAATAGCTCCTATTTGAGATCCATGAATGCTTACAGAGTTACTTTCCTATATCGAACTTTCAAGTTTCATTAATAATATGCTGCCTTCCTGGGACACAGGTGCACTCCTGGTACGAAGGCTATTTATTTGTTGCATGGAGGAATAGAGGAGCTAGAGGAACAATGGCTTCAAAGGTCTCATGCTTATACGTCTTGACAGTAGTTTGTTGGGCAAGTGCTCTCTGGTACTTAAGTATAACTCGCCCTACTTCTTCCTACACTGGCCACAGACAACTCAGTAGCATAACCATAGCCAGAAAAAATGTTTCCTTTGGCAACATAAGAACTCGACCTATAAATCCGCATTCCTTTGAGTTTCTTATCAATGAACCCAACAAATGTGAGAAGAGCATCCCTTTCTTGGTCATTCTTATCAGCACAACTCACAAGGAGTTTGATGCAAGGCAAGCCATTCGAGAAACGTGGGGAGATGAAAACAACTTTAAAGGAATCAAAATTGCCACACTATTTCTTCTTGGAAAAAACACAGACCCAGTGTTAAATCAAATGGTAGAGCAAGAAAGCCAAATTTTTCATGACATTATTGTGGAGGATTTTATTGACTCTTATCATAACCTCACTCTGAAAACATTGATGGGAATGAGGTGGGTAGCAACGTTTTGTTCAAAAGCAAAGTACGTTATGAAGACAGACAGTGATATTTTTGTAAATATGGATAATCTTATTTATAAGCTGCTCAAACCTAACACCAAGCCAAGGAGAAGGTACTTCACTGGTTACGTTATAAATGGAGGGCCAATAAGAGATGTTCGCAGTAAGTGGTACATGCCGAGAGATTTGTATCCTGACAGCAATTACCCACCCTTCTGTTCAGGTACAGGCTACATTTTTTCAGCTGATGTAGCAGAACTGATTTACAAAACCTCCCTTCATACCAGACTTCTTCACCTTGAAGATGTGTACGTCGGACTCTGTCTTCGGAAGCTGGGCATTCACCCTTTCCAAAACAGTGGCTTCAATCACTGGAAAATGGCCTACAGCTTGTGCAGGTACCGCAGGGTGATCACAGTGCACCAGATAACACCAGAAGAAATGCACAGAATTTGGAATGACATGTCCAGCAAGAAACATCTTAGATGCTAAGATTTTTACAGATGTAAATACTTCTTTTTTTTTAAAGAAATTTTGGGTTAGTCTGGTTATTTTTTGACAAAGTGGTCTGCTGATTTACAGGTTAAACTGTGGGATACTGCGAGAGGATTTTTAATGACTGATTTTTCATTCTCGTTTTGACTACTGATTTACAGACTTCAGGCTCTTTTCATCAGGACATCACACCAACTGAAAGGATCTAGAGTCAAATCTCAGATTTTGTATATTATCCTCTATCACACATATCAGCTCCTGCATCTGTATGTAAAAGGACAGTAATAAACTGTTACAAGCTGCTTAACAGTTCATGCCCCAGCCTCTGAGATAAGACTCAGACCCTAAGAAATGAAGACTTAGAAACGTACTTTCATTCCTCTTTTAACACCCTACACCCATATGTATTTAGAAGTTTGTTAATAAATTGAGCAGTATACATTTGCACTGACCTTATACACCTGTACTGACATGTATATTTTATAGTACAATGTATGCAATTCCCAAGCAGCTTTCTGATGGTATAATAGCAGAATTTAGACAGGTAAAAACATCAAAGTCTCATAAACCTTAAAAAAAAAATCCACACACTGAAGTATATATTTATCGACCAAGTGATATTCCTTTAAATTATTTCAGAAGATAGCCCATTTCTTTCTGCTGCCTAAAGGAACTCTAAAAGATATATTACCATTTTAAAATAAAGTAGAATCTGTAGATTAAATAAGACGGGGGAGATGTATGGAAAACTACCTGAGAACATACATGAGAAAAGTATGAATGTCTTTCAACTTTTAATTTCATAGCAAGGCAATGTTTTTCATTAGTATGAGTGGATCTCTCCATTGTCTTGCATAAGCAATATATATTGACAAGCATCAATAAGCAGCAGATTTCTTCAACATTGTTCAGTGCACTATTTACTGACAAAAAGTAACACAAAAGCAGCTTTTTGAGAGTAAGCTCTGCTTCTTGCTACATGAATGAGATTCTCCCACATTTTTAATGGTGTAGAAAAGTAGGATCTCAAGAGATTCCCCAGAGCATACAACAGAAATTAAATACACAAAATTTTGTTCAAGTTTCGTAATGTGCTTATGTCTTTTGAATATTAATGTTAATGAAATGTCATGAAAATTATTTCAAGGAGAATTTTTTGATAAATTCAAGACACCTCTATTCAGCACCTTCTAACAAAGAGTTAAAATATTACATTTCTCAACAAATAACTTGGATTGAAGAATTCCTAAACAAATTACACTTATACAAAATCACCAAATATATTACTAGCTGCAGGTTATTCAAACTGTCCATAGCACACACACAAGTCTCATTCGTTTCAGCTGACATTATGTGTAATATATGAAAAACTGTTAAGTCTGTATGTTGTTCAGGATGTCTATAAAGTTGTCAGAAATTAACTAAGAATTTAAAGAATTTAAATTTGTCATAAGTGTACATAGCTCTTTACAACAGTAAAAAGGGAATGAAAATGCTACCCCAAAATGTTTGCAGTTTCATGATAAATTGTTAGTCTTATTCATTGATGCAGCACCATCATTTTGAAAGGAACTACTTGTAAGTAAGGTAAACTGTACCTGGCCTTCAAGCCACAAGCAGCTTTTCAAACAAATGTACTTCAGATCTAAAGGTGAAGCTACACAACAGACAGCCCAGGAGTTCCTGCTAATCAACAGCAGCTTGTGCACCCTTCATAAATGAAGATCAGTATTTTTATATATTGACTCTCTTGCAGTATAATTAAGATTTATCCTTCCCTAGTTGACCTAGTCCTTGTTAAAATTGCTCTTGCTCCCTATAAACTCAGAACTCTAGCTAAACAAGGTCCAACTAATTGCATAGATGAATATAACACATACACAAATTGGGTGAAGTTCAGCTTTTCTTACCCAAGCCCTAGAATATGCTTGTTTAGAAAGGGAAACAAGGGTGGAACTCATCCCTAGCCATCAGGTAGATCAGACAGCATGGATGTCATCCTACCAGGAACACACTTTGTAATAACTCCAACCCAAAGGGTGCAATCACTTCTGCTATCCCTCTGCACAGTGCAGTAATTTGGGGTTTCTGAATCCACAACCAAATGGATTTGATGGCCTTACTTCTGCTCATGCTTGTGGCTTTGGAAGACAGCAGGGCTCCCAATCCAAATACCTCAGGGCTTAAGAGGCATGGTAGGCAGCCTTGAATTTCTCCTAGTACAAGTAGACTGCATTAATGATTGGTAGGTAGCCTTTGAAAACAGTATCTGAAAAAAAAAAAATGTATCTCCTGCCATTTATAAATAGATAGATCTTCAGAAATGTAAATGTTCATCTTGAAACTGATGTACATAGTTCTAAGGCATTTTCCTCTGTATTCAGCTGTATATACGTGTAAAGTCTGCTTGCTATGTAATATTCTGTTATGCATGGAGCTGGGATAGGCATTATATTTGTCCAGTGTTTCAAGAGCCTTAAGCATGTGTGCCCTAACTTTTGAATGTACAAGTTTTTTTTTCTTTTATTGACAAGTGAATTTAAAAGAACACAACAAAAGCCTAATTTTCTACATCTGTTAATTTTCTGATACTAGACTTCACTAATTTGTTACACTGAACAAATTTATTATTTTCTCTTTGCTCAGAAATTGCAATATTGCAACCTAGAAAGGGAGCAATATGTCTGTCTACACATAGGGGAAGCTTGCTACCCTTACACTCAGTGGTATTTGTGTCACATGGGGTACTGTTCACAAACAAGTGTTTGCATTAGGCTACCTTTAATCAAAGAAATATTCATGTCACTTAAAGGTCATTTTGTTTCACTGGGCATGGGACAAATGACAACTAGGTTAAAACATGCTGGCTTCTAGTCACTTCAGAAGTGTGATTATAATCACATTTTGATTCCAGAACGTACATGGACAAAGCACATTGGTTGAAGAAGCTAGGGGGGAAACTCCTCTCTTTTAGGAGGACTTTTTCCCAAACGCATTTTTTTCTAAAAGCCTGAGAGTATTTAAACAGAAGTCTCAAGGTTCATTTTCCATCTTTCCTAATAATAATGTTAAGTGTCAATTTTGAGTCTTTATTGGGATTTTTTTTTGTCTTTATAATGTAGATGGCAATGGCAATTTGTAAATGAAGAGTGTAATAAACTAGAAAAGCTTGTCAACAGTAACCAAACATTACGTGTAACATTATATATGGCTGTACTTATGTATTTATTTGTCTAAATTGTATATATTGTTTTATCTATAGTGTCTGTAGGAGTGCATTCTTTTAAAGTATTATTTACAGTTTTGTGGGATTGCCAGCAAAGCTGTTAATCGAGATACTATTTTTTTGTATCAATGTCAAATAAAAAAAAAAATTAAGAACAAAAATTAAAAACTGAAGGTGTCCTGTAAGTTTTCTTCTTCACTTCTTTCTAGAAATGCAAAGGGTATTATCTGAAAACACAATGCCAGGGAATAGGGTCAGTTTTCATAAGGGAGAGTATGGTGCTGCAAAAGCAGATCTGTAAAAAATAGTTGGAAAAAATGCAGCAACCTTACAAATCATAAAGAGATGCTTTAAAACAACTAAGAGTTTCACATACACTAAAAACCCCTCCAATCACTTTCTTTTTTCTGTCATTTTCACCGTGGCAGCCTGAGTCTAATTGCAACACTTAACATGGTGTTTAATTAATATACAGCTTGGAGATATACAGATATTAGCACTAGTAGGACGGATTTTGTGTAGCTTGATTATCTTAATTACAAGCATTCTATTTTCTCATTTACTTAATTGATTGTCATAGATTTCCAAAGAAATTTGCACTGCCCTAAGTGAAAAGAGTATGTAAAAAAAAAAAACAAACCAACAGAAAAACAAATAAAAAATCCCAACTTAAAACCAGTGAAGTTGGGCTATTCAAGCAGCAACATGCCACAAAAGGTGATCGGTATGACAGGAAACATTGTACAAAATACTACCTACTTTTCTCTTGTTAAAAGTGGGAATTAGGAAGTGGAAGAAGAGGAGTTATCTGGAGGAAAAATTAAAAAAAAAAAAAACAAAAGAAAAAAGAATATGCCTTATTGATTCAGCTGCACCTGTAATAGAGTTGTCTCAAGTATCATCCCTGATGACATGCCTAACGCAGGTAAAGAAGATCCATTTTTCTGCTAGGTCTGAGTGTTAGCTGACTCGACATTATAACTCTGCCTCACCTGAAAGAGCTAAGGAGAGCAAAAGGCAATTTGTCATGTGAGATTTATCCTTGAGCATTTATTCTGCAAAGGCAGTGGTACATGCCAAGCTGTGCAGAATTATGTGCCATTGCCTTGTAATGTAACTTTTATCTGGGGGAGGCAAGTATCCCAAACTTGAGGTGTGCTGAGTAACACCTACCAGTTCTGCAGCTAAATCAAGAATAATTCCAATCCCTACATCCCTTTTCCTTTAGGAGTGCCTTTCTCTGACTTATTTTCTAGCATGACCTCTTTCCTCAAAGTGAAAGCAGACCTCTTGGGTACCTTAGTATAGCAGTAAAAGGGGAAAAACAGAGAGCTCCCTACAGTAGCATTTGGGAAGTACTAGCAGGCCCAAAGTACAAAATCATTTAGCACAACAGCCATTCTCTTTTGGCAATAAAGATAGCAGCCATGTAAGTGATGTAAGCCACAACCAGCTGAACTCATCCGTTGTGATACACCAGCCATAGGGCTCAAAGTGCATCATGCACAGATCATGCATCAGTTCCTCCTTATCATAAGACATTTATTTGAACATCTTAGAAAAGTTGTGCCAAAGTGTAGAAAGAGCAGAAAGGGATAAAACATTCTGAAACATTCTAAATTCTTTTATTTATTCAACTTCATTAAAATTCCTCCTCAAAAAGAATGTTCTATTTCAAGAAGTTTCAACAGTTATCCATTATACATCTTCATACATCTTGAATATGTATGAAGATTTTACCTTCATACATATTCAAGGCAAATAAAGTAAAACACTGGTCTCCATTACCTGGTGTACTGCAT